AAAAACGGAATGTCTGCTTGCGAGAGCGAACGTCGCAACTTCGGCCGAAAGTCTAATGAACACGTTCGCACTTAATGGCATCCGACTGATTAAATGAATTACCGACTCTAATTACCGTAATAATTCCTACCTCTCTCAGCTAATGCCGCGGAATTTTGGCTAATAATGAGTATAATCTCGATCCGTAATTCTCGCAGTTTTGGAAAAGAACAAATTAGGATATTCTGAAGAAATCATTTTACATTTCGCGTGGCGGAACAGCGAAACGCTATTAATGAGATTTCTACGTCGCGTTTGCGTGTCATAAAAATAATAAAAAATTATAATTATAAAAATTATAATTATTATCGTGCGTTATTTAGGAAATACGCAATGTCGGACGCCTACTGTTGGCACGCGATAGAATGCAAGTGGCAAGAGATTACATTTGATCCCTGTTGATTAATTATGTGTAAAAGTTAATATATTCCGAACGGTAACTTCAAAGAGAGGGATGCTGGGATTATTTCCTCTCCAATTTCGTCCAATATATTATTTAGGATCAACTCGGTGTACAATCCATTCAAATCCTCACAAGGGATGCACAGTTGTGCGCGATGCACTAGATAGATTATATATATATATACACACACACACACACACACACACACACACACACACACACACACACATGTGTGTATATATATATATATATATATGTATATATATATATATATATATATATATATATATATATATTTCTCCCTTTGTTTCAATATAATCATTTGTACATCCACGAATCTCGAAAACGTGCTACGTTTAATGATAATTTAATGGCAGTGTAACGAATGCATTCGCGACATTTATGCAATAATTGATATTATCCACTAATAACGTTCGAAAGATTGAAATAAAAAGTTATTTCTAACATCGTTAATGTCCGAAGCAGAATTTTTCATTTATAGTATACATGTCTGTTCACTCGAACATATTTCAAAGATTGTTAAACTTTGGTACGACGTATTCTATTCAATATTTCACGCATTAATATATGTCGAGCGTGTATTTTTCGAATGTATACATCTATCCTATCTGTAAAAAGAAGCTGCGACATATAACAGAAAAGAAGAAATTGTATTTAAAGAAATCCCGAAATATCGACTTAAATATCGAAAAAGCGAGAAAGAGAAAGAAAATTGTTCTCATATATTTACTTACAATGTAGTGTAACATTATATTATGCGGTCGAAATATATTCTCGTACAAAGTATAGAACGTATTTTATTGGAGTGCACGTACGATATTACTTTTGGCTAAAATAAATGAATATTATTTGTGGTGGTAATATGTCAAAAGCCGTTATAACACGTTGATTTATGATGTATGAGCGGGCAAAATTTACAAAATCGCTATAAAAGTAGAAATTGACGGGTGCAAATATAGTTTACTGCGGAATGTAGTTGTGGCATTATTCGTTCTCATGTTAATTTAATTTGCGACTTAATTAAAATTAATTATATACAACTAATTATGGGTATTAAACTTGACTAACTAATCAAAGCAGATATTTAAGGGAAGTTATTAATGATGCAGATTAATTACAATTTCACAGTTGCAACTATGATTTTATTTATGAATAACGCATTAAATGAATAGTATATATATATATATATATCGCACTGTTTTTAGTTTCATGCCTCTCAAATAGCTATTTTCAGTTTGCTTTATTCATAAATTCTGTTATGAAAAAAATACCGTTCGATTCACAGGTAATATTATATACGTGATAGAAAGTTCAATATGAAATCAATTAATAAATACTCACCTCCGCAAAAAATTTTCCGCGAGTTCATTCTCGACGAACTTTTCACTTGAAAGAAGATATACACACGGGGAAATATAATTCAAACGTATATATAATATAAATAAAAAGAAAAATGCTAATCAAAACGCAGGGAAATGAACGAGATACGTTAATTACGAGATAATTAAACATCCAACCTGTAAATGAGAGAGAGAGAGAGAGAGAGAGAGAGAGAGAGAGAGAGAGAGAGA